TTTCACAATGTATTTATTTCAAAATTAATGAGAATTTATTTATTTAAAAATCAGATTGATAATGCATGTATTTCACAATATTATAGATGAGCTTTTTGAGATCTATTTAAAAATATGCATGCTCTTTTTAAAAACATTTCTATTGTTTTTATACTAACAATCTATTGCATTTTTATGAGCTGTTACTGAACAAAATAGTATATTACAGGGCTACCACACTGTATATGATAGTTCTCAAAATTACAAAAATGCTCTATTAATAATATATTTATTTCACAAAAGTCAAATGTATTTTATTTAAAAAAATACAATTATAAAATTTATTGATGAGGGAATGCACCTATTTCAAAATAAACAATTTGATATTCACAAATGACAATGTTATTACTGTATTCATTATCATGCTTCCCCTGTACCATTTCTTTCAGTCTCAACCTCTTGTGTTTTAAGACTTTAAAGGCACTTGCTAGCTGGATCCATCCCTGGTTAATTATTTTTAGGGATATAGGGATATTGCAGAATTATTTTCASGGAACAAAGGAGCTGCCTATTGATTTATTGACAATCCTGGATCTGCCATGAGTGGAGATTTCAGATATATTTATAGGGAGAAACTGTAAAAAAAAAGGGATCAAGGAAATATATCATATACCCACCCTGGGAAGGGCTCACTTGTAGTGTGTTCTGGTCCAGTCATTCTAGGCAATAAAGTCTTTCAATGCATTCCTGATTGCTTCAGCCTGTTGATCTTGTCTAGCATTTCTGTCAMATTGTTGGATACCAGCATAGATCTGAATTCCTGTCAGCCAGTCGTCATTAAACTCCTCTTTCATTGTTTCACAAAAGTTGTGAAGCACACMGCATGCCCCAATAGTRATGCATGAGTTGGCTACAGAAAGGTCAAGGCGCTTGGCCAGACACCTAAATCTCCCTTTCAGCCGCCCAAAGGCATTTTCAACCACTACCCTCGTCTTGCTCAATGCATTGTTAAATGCAACTTCGGATGCTGTTAGGTTTCCTCTGTCATAATAAGGCCTCATCAACCAATTCTTTAGACYATAGGCCGAGTCACCAATAATAAGCGGGGGTACCACTACACCATTGACTCTTTTGCTTAAGTTGAGGGGTAGGAAAGATCGTGAAGAGCATGCATCATACAATCTTGAGTTCTTAAATACTCGTGCGTCATGCACCTTCCCAGGCCACCCTATACAGACATCTCTYAAAAAGAAATCACTGTCAACAAGGCCTTGGAGTAGTATAGAGTAKAATTTTTTCCTGTTAATGTAATCCTCTTTGTTGTCTTGGGGTGCCATTATGGGGATATGACACCCATCAACTGCCCCGACAACCTGAGGAAATCCTGCTATATCAAAAAATCCGTCCATTTCCTCCTCCACTTCATCTTCTTTCGGAAGACGAATGTACTTTTTAAACATGACCTCCATTATAGCCTGACAAACCTGAGTGGTTATTGTCCAGGCTGTTGACTTACCAACACCAAATAAGTTTGATATTGTCCGGTAGCAGATAGTGTCTGATAAACGATACAGTGCGATCGCCACTCGCTCTCTTACCGGTATAGCACGACGAAAATTGGTGTCCCGACGCTGAATGAATGGCGCTAGTTCAGCACATAGCTTTTCAAGAGACTGCTCAGACATTCTCAAGTTCTCTAACCATTCTCTTTGACCCCAGTCGTTTATCGTTTCCCAAAAAGAGGAACTTCGAGGTTTGCACCACACTCGTCGCAGAGGTATTTGTTGCATGTAAATAGTTATAATATGCAAAAACAACAACAAAAATGAACGACATCTTCTTCTCAAATAGGTTCTGCGTCGCTCTAGAGCCTTTCTTTTGCGGATTTCTGCACGTTTTTGTGTATTTTTTAGCAAAAGTAAGCTCAAAACCGGCAAAATTTTTGCAACTCTGGCAACCATTGTTTTGATACAAAATCCCTCCACGTAGGGAGGGAATAAGTGAATTTGCATCATGAAAGCGAGGCCAGTTCTTTTCCTGCAAAGTATGCTGGGATTTAAACATGTTTTTTTATTGAAAACGGATGTGAACGGAAAACTAAACTAAACGTGTTWAGTTACACAAGTTTTATTAAACACAGGTTAGTTAAACTAGTTTAACTGGTGTGAACGAGCTATAAGACTCTTATATAAATCTTATAATTCATAACTCATATACATACTTTTGAAGTTAGTTTCTCGATTGCGTAAACAAACACATTTTCGATTGAATTGATTATTTGTAAATTATTCTGCCATATACTTATGTTACTTTTTGAATATTAAAAGCACGTTTAGCAAAACTTTGTGTTATTTATTGTCTCTTATTAATTTCACTACTGACTGCGGACCGCGGTTACACTTAGTTATATGCTTACTCATTTCACTACCGACTGCGGACCGCRGTTACACTTAAACATGTCAACATTTCTTTCTGGATTCTTGGACTCTGCAGGTTTTTTGTTAAAAGGRACAAATTCTTCATTAAGGGTATAGGGTCTATTATCTGAATGTACTAAAACCAAGTCCCCAACACCAAAACATGGTTGATGTCATTTTATTGTACAATTTCTTGTTATCTTGTTATTTTCACCTCTATCAAATTGAACCTTCCCATCATGTCAAGTGTTTTTACAAGATAAAAATTGAATCTTGTTCAAAAAGTCAAGCAGTACTTGTTTATCCTTAACTTTATTACATATTGATTTAATTTTTGTACAATTCATGCTTTATTAAGTTTGCAACAGTATTTTGACTATTTATTCAACATATATACAATACAATATAGTCATGTAAAAACTCATTACAACTATCTCATCCCTGTTCCCTTGAGTAGATAAATTTATGTGAAATCTGATCAGACCTCACAAAATTATAAATTTATGTGAAATCTGATCANTTTTGCGGGATACACGCATTTCCACCAATCAGAAAAGAGTATTTCAATGACTTTGACTCAATGCGGGTCAAACACGCAGATCAGCCAATCAAAGCGTCCATTGGTAATACGATACTTTGTTGGTGCKGGTCAAAACACGCAGATCARCCAATCACGGCGTCTATGGAAATTTGATACTACAGAAGTGCGGGAWAAGCACGCAAATTATCAAATCGCAATTAGGTTTTGCGTGCTASCCCRCAARTTAACCAATAACCAATTATTATTTGTGTGTACTAAAACTCTTGCAGACCATCATTCACTTATATTCTAGTCTGCAGCATTTCAGAGCATTTTTAAATTACTAGTAAGATAAAACAAACTCGAAAACATRTTGAATTGAATTCGAAATTTAATAAAGTATTATTTATTTCGGAAAGAAGTTGAACACACTTTCATGTGAGTGTCTATTTTTCCATTAAGAGTTCTAGACTGTCCGATATGTAGCTCTTTCAACAATCACGTAAGAAACACAAGATAATGACAGATAAGAATCAACATTAATTCGATTTTCCGCGGAATACACACACACGTTTCTTTCACAAAAATATCAACGGCAAAACGTTTCACGCTTGCGATCACAATTTTCGAAAATATGCGCGATGCCAATAAATTACAAAATATCGTTCTTTTAGAAACCAAAACTTCCATTTTCAACAACAAAAACTCTCTGTACAATGCACTGGATAAACGATAGTTTACCGGGTTCGAATATCTGGATTTGCGATGCCTAAATAAACGTGTATCCAATCAGCAAAGTAGTTTTCGCAACAAGTTATTATTTCTTYGAAGAAAAACATGTGTTGTAATGGTTGGCATTACTGCMGGGGAATTTTCGTAAAGCGGTTGTATTTCTTAACTCTACATTATGAAGGTACTCATCTCGACCATGCTTGARCGGTCTTGAACTGATATACGATATTTGATGCGTTGGTTGTCGATGACGCTTCTTGTCGATTTCACATAAACATGAATCATTTGAACGACGGATAAAAAAACAACAACAAGAAGCCATTTTTGTTATCGAATTTTTCCTTTTTTGTCTCACCTTTGTTTATTATAAATTTCTTTAAACTATGGTAAGAAACTTCGAGTTTTTGGCGCGCAATCTTTGACATGTGGCTTGACAGAGAGGCGCATTATTGATAATCCTCATGATAAATTTGGAAAAGTTGGATTGAAGTAGCTTTCTACACGGGGAAAAAGCAAAATAATCAATGTAGAAAATTGATTTTTCAGTATTTCAAATACATTCCAAATCAAATGGAGTYGTTTTTGCAGCTTTTGGATCCATATTTATACTGAACTATTAAAGGTCATKCATGTTGATGTGACACCATTTAACATGTTTACACTTCTTAATTGACATGTCACTCATTTGATAATTTCGAGACAAACGTCTCGGTTGGACCAGAGTTAATCTGATTTGATTTGATAAACTTTCGCAAAAAACACGACAACTTTTACTTATGTATATCTTATTCTGCATTTACGCGTGTAAGCAGGTTTTTGTAATACAAGATTATGGCGCGCATCCAACTCGCCTGCCTTTTAATGCAAACATGATTACAGATTGATTTTACATCGTCAAAGACACCCGACGGCAGCGCGATTTGTTACTCAATTATATTTTTGTAAATGTGAATCATTCGTTCATTAACATAACCTGAATACACTGTACATTTTGTCAGGAATTATGTCAACCTGTAGTACAGGCTTTCTTTTTGAATCGGTGAATTCGACGGATATATAAATTAAATGAGTAGTACTTTTGGCGCGCAATTCGTTATCAGTTAACACTAGAGGTGCTACGACGAATGAGAATCTACCCTTGTTTTAAGACCTATTTTGATACTGCGATCAATATATGTATGGATTGTATATATCAGTCCTTTTTGCAGTAACCTCTGGTCGGCGAGTTCTAGTAGTTCTTTTGAACTGGCCTCTTTTTATAACCTTTCCAAACGTTTATACTGTTAGAAGTATGTGTAGATAGCAGTTTTTGACAACCTTTCACTGACTGTCAAGACTGTGTGCTTCTTTGTACATTTACGATTACCTAACTTGATAAGCATAAATATGCGCTGTGGAGCTATTATCGGACTATTATTCAATTTATAAATTACGATACCAAAGCACAAAAATTCTGCTCCCTAATATATATACGGGACATATACATATCCTTTGTTATAAATACTTATTAATTTTCTTAATTGTATCAATGATTCTAGGCACCAAAGTAGGCAGGATAATCTATATAAAAATATTCACCTTTTATATTTTTAGATATATTTTTTATATTTCTCTTCTAAAATATAATTTCCATTCCAGTCTAAATATGAAAAATCTGTAACCGAGCTTCATCGGTTGTAATACGCCGGTTGTGCGAAGGGCGGATAGCGCTATCTAGCCGTTAAACCCTTATCCAGCAGATAAAATCCAAGAAATCTATGAAGGAGTGGATAACTTTATCCGGTTGATAGCGCTATTCACATTTCGTACACCTGGTCCTTGACCTTTTACTGTTTATCAAAAGCTAAGAAACATTTGCACTATCATTTTAGCGCCAGAATAGGCATTTTCGTGCAAACAATTAACAAAAGCCTCGATGCCATGCTTTGCCCAAACTCTGAAACTCTAGTCATTTTGATTGCACGGTGAAATGTAAACGACCCTAAGACAATCCAAACTCCAGAAACTTTTGAAGAATAGTTTTTTTCTTTCGGGAGAGCAATCTCGACACCAAAAAATTCTGAACGTCAACTGCACTTTGAACATTTTATGATTTTGACCCAGTGAGACTAGATACATGACGGTGATGTCTTTGAAGTTAGACTAATAGTGTTTTCATGTTCACGTGCAACGAAAATGTCATTACTTTTAAGATCACGTTTTGACACACATCATGAGTACAATGCTATTCCTCATTTGCAACGAAATTTCCTTTCTCATGACAAATGCAAAAAGTAAATGACCCTTGCGTGAAATTTATTGTTATTTGCATGCCACTACGGTCTTATTACACCGAATTTTTCATAGCTAGTTTACTTCTTACTTATCATCCTTTTGCGTGAAAAGCAAAACAGCAAAGTGGAAATTCGGTTAAGACGAAACTACTTTTCACCACATTTTGCAGTCATAAACAGTTTCTTTCTTTTGATGTGACTTAGAAAGACTTGCTTAAATTGTTAAAGTAGTTTTAACTTAAAAGTGTTTCCAATATCAATTAATACGTCTTTCACGCCCTAACAAAGACTACTTAAGTATAGAACTTGTTTCCTCCACTTGGACCTTATCACGTCTATTTGACATGCCGTGCCGTGCCGTGCCGTGCCGTGACATGCCGTGACGTGCCGCGCCGCGCCGACCGGTTAGCTCAGTAGGTAGAGCATCGGACTTTTGTGCGGGAGGTCGAAGCTTCAAACCCCGGCCGGACCAACACTCAGGGTCTTAAAATAATTGAGGAGAAGTTGCTGCCTTTGTCTTTCTCCATCTGCAAATGGTAAGATCTTCTCGTCCTCTCGGATAACGACGTAAAATCGGAGGTCCCGTCTCTCTACACTTCACTCACTAACCTGCATTAGAGGGACGTTAAAGAACCCACACCATTGTTTGCATAAGAGTAGGGAATGATTCCCGGTGTGTGTGGCTAGGCCTTACTACTAACCTATACTAATTACTAACCCTCATGATTGTAAGCCGCGTGGCTGCCAATTGCGCCTTAAACAGCGGTCCGTGTGAAATGATCTATACATGTGAAGCGCCTTTGAACTCAGAGGATATCGGCGCTATATAAATA